TCTTTCAGTAATTCACTTGGAAACGTGCACTGTTCCTATTGTCACCAAAATCAACGCTCAACTCTTGTTACCACTTTGGTTTGAAAACCATACGATGAATTGTCTTTTCTTGTACTAAGACAAGGAGAGGGATCATTGTCTGCCATGTTGGAAAGGCTGTGCTGGCATTAGGTAAGGCAAGTATTCAGTCCATGGTGGATTAACATGCTGGTTTTCGCTGTCCCAGCTCCACTTGAATGAAGTATTGGATCTGCCAATGCCCTTGGAACTGTGCTCCAAGAGAACCACATCTTCAGAAGATGAATATGGCTGAAAGGAGAGGTGCTGTTGAAGTTTTTTTTTAATCTTAACTCTTTGGACAAATGCAAGAATGCCAAACTTCAAACAAATAGCATAAATTATATAAACTATTTTATCAATAACAAAAATATACATCATTCTGATTGTATAAGTTGTGATCATCTGAAAATTGGCATTGCTGCACTTATTCTGATCAACTTCAACAAATGTCTCTCTTTTCAGAAACATTCAAAAGACATGGAACATTAGGGAGTCAATAACACTAAATGTAAGTGATTGAGGGTGCGGTTTGTTTTTAGAATTCTAGTGAGACAGATCCCTCTCTCCCATATTGATTCTGTGAACTTGGCTATACTCATGTAGGTGGAAGCTCAGCAAAGGCTAGGCATGGAAAGTCTTGCTCAGCCATTGCCTGAGGCTCGCCATCTTGGAAATAGTCACCTGGATCTGAAAATGAGCAAAGGCATTGAAAGAGTTTGGAGAGAGGAAAAGAAATCAAACAAATTAATGATGAAAACTGGTCATTTATGATTGTTCTACTATCTCTTTCACTGAATTAATATGTCATAACAAAGACAGAGTGTTTCTTCAGAAATGTTGCCGATGGGTTTCCAGATTCCTCTAATGCAGCCATCAATTGCCTCCCAAGAAAGCAATGTTGGGTCTGCCTCATACTTTCCCTCTTAGAGCAGCCCATGTCTGACAGTAACTCAAGGTCACTCTGGTCATGTTTTGTGACAGCCAAATCTCTCTTTGTGAACAAACACATTCCCCACCTGAGCGAGCCTCATAAATCTGCAAAAGATTAGCATCTAGAGCTGCTGCTCTCTAAATAACATCCTGCCCACGTCTGCAGGGATGTGAAGCCTCTCTGCATTGACATTAATTCCCAGCTTTTCCTAACTACTTCCTTCCCTTCGTGTACCTGAACGCTTCGATGATGTATGACGTGACTGCCGAGCCTCCAAGGTGCTGGCTTGGTTGCCATGACAAGGTGACACTATTACGGGTGACATCTGTGATCAGTGGTTTAGTTGGAGGGCCAGGCAGTAGGTCAGGTTCTGTTGACAGGATGCGTGTTGGGCTGCCGTTTTCTGAAAAGAAAGAAAGTACCACTTTTTAACCAAATGTCTTCATTGTTCGTCTAATCACCGGTAAACCCATCTCACAGCTCTGATCAATTACTGGAGACTACACACTGTAACTAGGTTACAATGTAGTTGTTCAATTCAAACTTCAGTGGGCAGAGGAGAGAGCAGGACACCAAATAACCAATCAGACTGGAGAACATGACATGTGCTTCCCCTGAGTGACTATTCTGAAGTTTAAATTTTCCATCAGGTTTCTACAACAATGAAACTCAACTGTGATACATCCTGTGGCTATTGTCCAGATGTTAGTCTGAAGTACTTTACAAAGTGCACTGGGCAGATGGTGCCTTTGCTACATCCGATACATAGGTCAGAGTCAGGTCGGCCTCATTTTATTATCAGTCAATTTTTCTATGCGTGGTTTGATACAACTGAGTGTCTTCCTAGGTCACCTTAGAATTAAGAGTTGCTTAAGAGTCAACTAGATGTGGTGGGTCTGGAGCCACACTTAAGCTAGACTGGGCAATGCTGTCAGATTTTCTTTCCTGAAGGACACTAGTGAATCAGATGGATATTTACTACAAACTGGTAGTGCCATGGTTATCAGTGTGGTAATAATTAAGAAATAAAAAAAAAAATTAATCAAATTTATTAATTGAACTTAAACTCCCCAGCTGCTGGGATTGGAATCCATGTCTCCGTATCCATGCCCCTCATGATTTTATAAACCTTTATAAGGGCACCCCTCAGCCTCCAATGCTTCAGGGAAAATAGCCCCAGACTATTCAGCTTCACCCAATAGCTCAAACCCTCCAACCGTGACAACATCCCTATAAATCTTTTCTGAATCTTTTCAAGTTTCACAACATCCTTTCTATAGCAGAGAGACCAGAAGTGAATGCAGTATTCCAATAGTGGCCTAAACATTATACAGCCGCTGAATAGCCAAGGTCCTTTCCCCAGGGTAGGGGAGTCTAAAACTAGATGGCATAGGTTTGAGATGAAAGGGGAAAGATTTAGAAGTGACCTAAGGGTCAGCTTGTTCAAGCAGAGGGTGGTACATGTGTACAATGAACTGCCAGAGGAGGTGGTGGAGGCTGGTACATACTTTGGAGACATCTGGATGGGTATATGAAGAGGAAGGGTTTAGAGGGATATAGGCCAAATGTTGGCAAATGGGATGAAATTTATTTAGGATATCTGGTTGGGATGGACGAGTTGGAACGAAGGTTTGTTTCAGCGCTGTACAACTCTATGACTCTGTGCATTTTCCAGGCCCCTCTGGACTAATTTCTCCAGTAACATTGTCACTATGCTGCCATCCCCTTAAATGTGAGATTTAGGGTTTCCTGTCTGACGGACACCCTGGCGCCCACTGCAAACTATAGATACATTGTCAGGAACACTACAAACACTGTTTACTCCACACCACCAACACCTGTAAACACAGATACAGACCCTGGGAATGAACTCATGCTCTGCATTCCAACAGAGTTAACCACTCATGGACAAACAATGTGCTAACACAACAACAAATACAATTTGGAACAAAAATCTGGGAAGGAATTCAATGAAAGCACTGTGACCGCTCCTTCGAAATCCATTGAATTTCCCTCTGACATTATCTAATAGTGCCTCAGTTTCAAAAACGTCTTCTTTTGAGACCGTTCCGGTAGATACAAGGCTTGTCAGGCTGTGTTACAAAATGGGCTGGAAGCTTCAGCCTGTACCCACTAACTGGCAAAAGCAAACATGTATGCAAGCATCCCCCTCCCAAAGATGCTGCAGGCCATTAACGTCTAAGTGCCCTATAGGCCCCCAGTACACTGTCCTCTTCAGTCTTTGTTTTAGAGGCCATTAAGCTCGGCAATGCACTGCAGAATCAAACATGTTTGTTTAACCCCTGACCTGCCCTTATTCTGGGTCAGGTTGTGACACTGAAAATCAAACAGTCGGTGATGTATGGGAAGGTGAGTTCATTTAGGAGCAATTATAAGGAAAAAGCCACTATTTATCAGAGGCTGTTCATGTTTCAGTCAGAGATGGCTCACAGGCCAACAGCTCCTCACTGAGCTGCTCTCTCCTCTGTCATAGAGCTGTACGGCATGGAAACAGATCCTTTGGTCTAACTTGTCCATGCTGACCAGATATCCTAAATTAATCTAATCCCATTTGCCAGCATTTGGCCCATATCCCTGTAAATCCTTCCTATTCATATACCCATCCAGATGCCTTTTAAATGTTGTAATTGTACCAGCCTCCACCACTTCCTCTGGCAGCTCATTTCATACACGCACCACACTCTGTGTGAAAATGTCGCCCCTTAGGTCCCTTTTAAATCTTCCCCCTCTCACCTTAAACCTATGCCCTCTAGTTTTGGATTCTGTTACCCTCAGGAAAAGACCTTGGCTATCCATGCCCCTCATGATTTTATAAACTTCTCTAAGGTCACCCCTCAGCCTCTGATGCTCCAGTGAAAATAGCCCCAGCCTATTCAGCCTCTCCCTATAGCTCAAACCCTCCAACCCTGGCAACATCTTTGTAGATCTTTTCTGATCCCTTTCATGTTCCACAACATCCTTGCTAAAGCAGGGAGACCAGAATTGAACGCAGTATTCCAAAAGTGAGCTAAAAAAACGTTGTGCACAGCTGCAACTTAATATCCCAACTCCTAAACTCAATGCACTGACCAATAAAGGCAAGCATATCAAACGCCTTCTTCATTATCCTATTACCTGCGACTCCACTTTCAAGGAACTACAAACCTGCACTCCAAGGTCTCTTTGTTCAGCAACACTCCCCAGAACCTTACCGTTAAATGTACAAGTCCTGCCTTGATTTGCCTTTCCAAAATGCAGCACCTCACACTTATCTAAATTAAACTCCAAATGCCACTCCTTGGCCCACTGGCCCATTTGATTAAGGTCCCGTTATTCTCTGAGGTAACCTTCTTGTCTGTCCTACACCACCAATTTTGGTGTCATCTGCAAACTTACTAACAATACTTTCCACGTTCACATCCAAATTATTGATATAAATGGCAAAAAACAGTGGACCCAACACCGATCCTTATGGCACACTGCTACCTTCCACCACCACCCTCTCTCTCCTACCTTTGAGCCAGTTCTGTATCCAAATGGCTATTTCTTCCTGTATTACATGTGATCTAACCTTGCTAACCAGTTTACCATGAAGAACCTTGTTGAATGCCTCCCTGAAGTCCATATAGATCACGACAACTGATCCGCTTTCATCAATCCTCTTCGTTACTTCTTCAAAAATCTCAATTAAGATACTGAGACACGATTTCCCACACACAAAGCCATGTTGACTATCCTTAATCAGTCCTTGCCCTTCCAAACACATATAAATCCTGTAGCTCAGGATCCCTTCCAACAACATTCCCACCACCAATGTCAGGCTTACCGGTCTATAGTTCCCTGGCTTTTCCTTACCACCTTTCTCAAATAGTAGCACCGCGTTAGACAACTTCCAGTTTTCTGGCATCTCACCTGTGGCTATCAATGATACAAATATCTCAGCAAGGGGCCCAGCAATCACTTCCCTAGCTTCCTACAAAGTTCTAAGGTACATCAATCAGGTCCCGGGGATTTATCCACCTTTATGCGTTTTAAGACATCCAGCACCTCCTCCTCTGTAATATGGACATTTTTTCAATATGTCACTATTTATTTCCCCACATTCTCTATCTTCCATATTCTTCTCCACAGTAACCACTGATGCAAAATACGCATTTAGTATCTTCCCCATCTCCTGCATGTTGGCAGCCTTGCTATCTTTAAGGGGTCCTATTTTCTCCTTAGTTACTCTTTTGATCTTAACGAATTTGTAGAATCTCTTTGGATTCTCCTTAAAGCTATTTGCCAAAGCTATGTCCCCTTCTTGCCCTCATGATTTCTCTCTTAATTGTACTTCTACTGCATCTATACTCAAGTAACAGCACTGCGGATCCTAGCTGACAGTATTCGAACCTACGAGGGAACAATCCCAATGGATTTCCAATCCATCACCTTGACCATTTGGCCACTACTACGTCTACGTCTGCCCAGAACCATTCCTTATCCTTCTCCCAACTCCCAGTCTTGTCCTCTGCAGAAGACTCACTCTCTGTTTTATTGGTCTATCTTAGTTCATTCTTTCAGTTTGTGAAAAATTGTCAGAATCTGGCATCACCAGGGAAGGCCAGCAATTATTGGTGGTGGTTCTTCTTTATGGATTGTTATGACAGGATGGTTTGATAAACAAACTGAAAGTGGTTAAGAACCATTCATGTTGGGGTGTGAGGTAGGGGACCAGTCCAGGGGAGGATGGAAGGTCTCTGCCCCTGAAGAGCAGTCAGTAATTTTGACAACAATCCAACACTTGTCATTCCCTTGCGTGTCACATGAACACGCGAAACAGGTGTAGTGGAGGAAATAGGAATGAGCGTTTTTGTTTCCTGGTTTTCAGGAGCAAATTTAAATTCTCAAAATACTGCTGGTGGGTTTTGATTCTGCTGAGATTACTAATCCAGCAGCATGACCACTAGACTACAGACTGTTCTCAAGTTTAATAGTGCCAGTAGAAGTCATAGAATCCCTACACTGTGGAAACAGGCCCTTCGGCCCAACAAGTCCACACCGAACCTCACAGCATCTCACCCAGACCTGTCCCCTTGTAACCCACCTAATCTACACATCCCTGAACACTATGGGGCAATTTAGCATGGCCAATCCACCTAACCTGCACATTTGGTATGTGGGAGGAAAGCAGAGAACCCGGAGGAAACTCACATAGACACGGGGAGAATGTGCAAACTCCACACTGACAGTTGCCCGAGGCTGGAATCGAACCCAGGTCCCTGGCACTGTGAGGCAGCAGTGCCAACCACTGAGCCACCATGCCGCCCCACGTTAAGGCAATTTTACTGAAACACTCCTAAATATGTAACAAATAACACATTGGCACATTCAGCATTTACGCTCCTGAGATTTCCTGTTAGTCTAAAACTGAAGTCAACATGGTGGAGAAATGAAGACTAATTGCACAAGGTCCCAAACAGATATTGGCAGAATATCAAAACTGAAAACACCACACTCTCATAATCCCTTTTCTTCTGCTAACAGGAAGATTTTAAAATCTGTGGGTACCAATGACCCAACTTAATTTATCTCCATATCTCAACACTTTACTAACAATATGACAGGATGTGACCCTTTTGCTCAAAAGGGTCATGAATCGTTGGAATGTTCTATCCCAGAGCATTGCAGGATGTTCCACCATTGACTATATTTAAGACTTAGACAACTTTTGGTGCCTTACGGAATCTAGGGACGTAAGTTCACTGTACCCTCCCTTTCACATATCTTCATTCAATATAGGGCAAATTACTCTTTCAACGATATTAAAAATAATGGTGGAAATGAAGGAAGGAACATTCTTGTTTTACTTTAGCCTGCAAATTCTCTAGTTACTTCAGGTTACTTCTTTTAGATTTTGAAAACAAGCTGTGGTGCTCAATCCCCATTTGTTCATTTCCAGGAGGGATTGGTCAATGGGCAATATCTATCACTTTGGCTGATACTTCCCCACCACGTATCAGGATGTTTGAAGAACTATAGCACAAATATAGCGTACAATGTAATTGAATTAGACCAACTAATTCATCAGAGACCAGAGACAAAATATAGGATCTTGTAGATCCATGTGGCTTAGCTGTTGCGTGAAACAGTCAGACCATCAGGAAAAGGTGACTGAATTTTCTTTTTTTTTAAAATGAAAATATATTTCAAACCTGTGTCTGAAGGTCATGTCACTATAATATTAACTAAGGAATCCGAGAACAAATCGTAGAATCCCTACAGCGTGAAGCAGGCCGTTTGGCCCATCAAATCCACACCAACCCTCCGAACAGCATCGCATCCAGACAGGTCCCCCCTACCCTATTCCTGTAACCCTGCCTTTCCCAATCCCAAGCTAATCCACCTAGCCTGCACATCCCTTGTCATTATGGGCAATTTAGCATGGCCAATCCACCTAACCTGCGCACCTTTGGACTGTGGGAGGAAACCAAAGCACGCGGAGACAACCCATGCAGACCTGAGGAGAATCTGCAAACTCCGCACAAACAGTCACCCAAGGGTGCAATTGAACCCTGGTCCCTGATGCTGTGAGGCAGCAGTGCTAACTACTCAACCACTGTGCCACCCTTAATCTTAAAATTGGTAGTGGCACCAGATAGCCATTTTGTTGGGAATTTTGGAGAGTCTTCATTGTCCTTATGTTTATTTGGTTTGCTTTATCACTACAACTTGTCTTATTCTGAGAGTAGGCCGCATGCATCTGCAGTTCCACCTTTCCATTTAGTGTATATACATAGGCTGTGTTAATGATCTGTCCTGTCTACTGTTTGCTTTCTACCCAACATCATGTGATTTAACTGCACAATACCTTGCACTTCCAGGTATCCGGTCCATGTGGTCTCCCCACTTGATCCTGTGGCGACGCAAATGTACATACCAGAATCGGTTACCTAGTAGCAAAAAAAGCAGACTCGATTGGATGTTGTCCTTGCAGATTACACAGTGGATACTGAGGCACCCTTAAGACAACTGTACAATTAATATTCTGTCAGAAGCCTTTATGCCTTAGACATACAAAAACATGTTAAGAAAAGACATAAAAACAGAAAATACTGAACTCAGCAGGTCAGGTGGCATCAGTAGAGAAAGAAACAAGAGTTTAGGGCAGTTCGGAGCAGGTAGCTACTATTCTGATAGAGGTCAGCCATATTATATTTGGATGCCTGGCAGGTTAAATGCTCCAATATTCTCAGTTAATTGTTTATATGCAATGACCTATCTTTAGAATGAGAAAATGTTTGAAATGCAGAACAGCTTTTAAACAGGGAAAAGGGTGGAATGAATCAAGCAGTAAAGCAAGACTGGAAAGGGATGATGGGGTACAGCAAAGGAACGTGATAAGAAACAATATTTTCCATGTTCTGATGTTTGGCCAGAGACCTGAAACGGAAACTCTGTTTTTCTCTCTCTCCAGATTCTGCCTGAACTGCCATCTGTGCCCACAATAATGTGTGTTTATTACAGAGACTATGGAGGGAGTCCAGGGGAGGTATAAATGATCACAGGAGAATAACAGAATGGGAGCAGATTGTGCACAATTTGGCAAAGAGCAGAAGGCACGCATCATTCAGGAATGAAGTGGAAGAAAGGCTGATCAATGACACCATATGGGTGCAGACCACCTCACCGGCTGTATCCCAACTGGGGAAACTCATCCAAACACTGGTTCATACCACCTTCACTGCCGGTGGTCCAGCATCTTCCATTACCAGCACTTGCTCTCCGAGAGAAAAAGAAAGTGGTTGTTAGGGCTTGAAGTTATTAAGCTGAATGTTATTAAGCTGAATGTTAACAGCATAAGGCAATAAACTGCCTCCATAGAAAGATGAGTTGCTGTTCCTCAAGCTTCTCTTGTTACAAGCAAGAAAGCCACTGACATACATGTGATCTACCACTCAATATACTCTGCCAAAAATCTGTTAACAAACAAGGAACAAAGGTAGGTTACTCAGCGCTTTGAGTCTTCTTCAGCATTCAATACAATCCTGGCTGATCTGATTTTAACCTCACCTCTACATCCATACATATCCCCAATAAACTTTCATCCCTTGGTAATCAAGAATCCACCTAGCTTGGCCTTAAACATACTTGATGATGCAATATCCACTGCCTTTTAAGGAAGGGAATTCCTAAGAGTCACTGACAGAGAAAAGAAGTGTTTCCTCATCAAACTATGACCCCATGTTCTAGATTCTCCCACAAGTGGAACCATCCTTTCAACTTTCACCCGGTCAGGTCTCCTCAGGATCTTATATGTTTCAATTAAGTCAACTCTTGACTCTTTTAAACTCCAGAGGATACAGGCCTAGCCTCTCTCATAAAGCAATCCATTCATTCAGGGTATTAGTCTAGTAAACCTTCTCTGAACTGTTTCCAACACATTAACATCTTTGCATACATACAGTGACCAGTACTGTACAGTACTGTTTCACCACTGCCCTCTATAACTGAGGCTTAGCCTCCCTACCCTTGCATTCAATTGCCTTCACAATAAAATCTGATATTCTATTAGCTTTCCTGATTGCTTGCTTTTCCTACATAGTAACCAGGGTGGGGGCAGCATGGTGGCTCAGTAGTTAGCATTGCTGCCTCACAGCGCCAGGGACCTGGGTTCGATTTTACCCTCAGACGACTGTCTGTGTGGAGTTTGCACATTCTCCCTGTGTCTGCGTGGGTTTCCTCCAGGTGTTCCAGCTGCCACCCACAGTTCAAAGATGGGCAGGTTAGGTGGATTGGCCATGCTAAATTGCCCATAGTGTCCAGGGGTGTGTAAATTAGGTGAATTAGCCATAGGAAATGCGGGGTTACAGGGAGAGGGTGGGGGATGGGTCTGAGTGAGATGCTGTTTGGAGGGGCAGTGTGGACTTGTTGGGCCAAAAGGCCTGTTTCTACACTGTAGAGATTCTATGATTCATGGACTGGGACACCCGGATCTCTCTGCCTGAGAATGTGATTTATTAAATGTACCAGGACAGCGGATTTAAAAAATGCATGCATATGAACAAGGACGAGGAGTTGTATCAATTGAATAGTCACTCGTCAATCCTTCAGAGTATCAACATTTCCCTGTCTCAAACCATTCCTGAGAAAAGGTTGATTTTTTTTTTCCCTTTCCAAACTGGTTAGTTTTACATTTCTCCACATTATGCTCCACTTGCAGTGTTTTGTCCACCCAGCCAGACAGTTACTGTATTTTTACTTTCTCTGAATCCCTCTCACATCCTACTTCCCTGCCTAATTTTTATTATTAACAAACTTGAATGTTTTCCAGTCAATCCTGTCATGGTAAATAGTTGAGGGTCAAGTATCTCTGTAAAACTCCACGAGTTACAGTCTGTTAACCTCAAAATGGCTTGTTTCAGTCCATTAACCAATCCTCAATCCAGTCTAATATAATCCCACAAATCCTAATTTTGTGGAGAAAATATCTTGTGCAGCACTTTTTTGAATGCCTTTTTTAAAACTTCCAAGTGCACACATCCCATAGTCTCCTCTTATCTATGCTGCTAATCACATCCTTGAAAATCTCTGTTTCTCTTTCATATATCAATGTTGACTCTGTCTGATCATATTTAATTTTCTAAGTGCCATGCCATCATGTCTGAGCCAATAGATTCTAGTCATTTTTCCTAGCACTGATGTTGGACTAGTTTTCTCTCTCTATGTTCTTGAAGAATAGCTTACATTCCCTCCCTTTAAAAGCCAAATCTGATCCTGACAACACCTCCAGGAGGTGTCACAAACTAGAGATAGTAGGAACTGCAGATGCTGGAGAATCCGAGACCAGGAGGGTAAATTTCAGCAGAATTTATCCTTCCTAACCTGAGACGCAAAGTTTAATTCTATCTGTGGTGCCATCCTGTTTGAGATAAATGAATTTTGCATAAGACTAAGGGATTTAAACAGAGGCTAGCCAGATTGACGTGTGACACCAGTTACTTGCTGGCTCAACAATGAACCATCATTTGAGATCATTACAAAATAGTACAGCATGGAATAAGAAAAACAGTACCACGAGTATGAAGAGCAATCCAGTTTGATCCCCTCTCTGATATTTTCCCCTTATCCCTGCAATGTTTCCTTTTTCATACAATCAATAAAAATCAAAAGCTGATTGTTAAATGTTCCCTGTAGCATTCTCCATAGCAACATCTCCACCAATCAGAGTTTGCTTGCCCAATAATCAGCACCCTCTTCTCATGCAGTATGAATTGTTGCTGCCTTTGAGATTTGGTACTCTTGCGATTGTGTCCTGATGCGTGTAAGACAAGAAGCATCAACAGCATGCCTTTTTTTCCCAGCCACATTCAACATGAATCCTTCCAATTCATGCCACTCAGTCAAAAGTTGCTTTTCTGCCAAAAGTCATATGTACAAATGCATGACAGCAACCAGAGGGAGTCAGAACTCGGCCAGCGACTTCACTCTAGCATCCCCCTCTGTGGGGTAAAACTAGACATTTGGAGATCTCTCAGGGATTATCCCTATCAACTACCTCCCCCTTAGCAGCCATTTCCCAGAAACAACAGAGAGCAATTGAGGAACTGGGTCTCACACAGAACATGTACACAACTGAAATTATAACCTTGATCTTTCAACTTGGAAGATTCAGAACTACAGAATGTTTGCTTTTCTTCCAGCTCAGGGTTTCAGGTCGGATATATCATGTAGAAAACTGCAGGGAGTTGATTTAAGTTTTAAAAATGGGATGGGTCAATTTCAGCAGACAACACAGCGCAGTGGATGGCACGATGACTCAGTGGTTAGCACCGTTACCTCACAGCACTAGACACCCAGGGTTTGATTCCAGCTTCGGGCAACTGTCTGTGTGGAGTTTGCAAATTCTCCCTGTGTCTGTGCGGGATTTCTTCGGGTGCTCCGGTTTCCTCCCATAGTCCAAAGATATGCAGGTCAGGTGGAATGGGCATGTTAAATTGCCCCATAGTGTCCAGGGATGTGCAGTCTAGGTGGATTAGCCATGGGTAATGCAGCGGTATTGGGATAGGGTGGGAGTTGTGGGTGTGGGTGGTATGCTCTTTGGAGGATCAGTGTGGACCTGATGGGCTGAATGGCCTGCTTCTACACTGTAGGCTTCTATGAGACATGGGGAAGAATTTTATTGCCACCTAAGTGATGGAATATTAACAGCAAAGAACAGGAGCGGGCCACACCAGAATGTCTTCCCAACACAGTGCCCCATTGCCAGGGGTAGTTTTCCCATTGTAGACTGTGAAGTGAATCCACTAGGGATTAGATGGTGGGGTGGGGCAGGACAACAGTCTATTCCAAATAATAAATGGATCTGTTAAGGACCACTTTATATACAAAACCGCCAGCACTTTTCTGACAGTGGTGTGGACTCCCTCTCATGGGGAGGCCACTAGCTTCATGGAGCCAGCAGCCCTGGGACTGGATGGTACTGGGTCCAACATAGCTGTAGCTGGAGGGTATTAATCTCAAAGAATGGACCACAACATGATAACCAATTCCAAGAAGACATTGGTTATGCCCAAGATGGGTCTGGCCTGTGAATGGTGGCGGGTCTTTCCCCTTTGACCAGCCTAAATTTTAATTTGTGCTCATAGAAGATCATAGATCATAGAATCCCTAAAGTGTGGAAACAGGCCCTTCGGCCCAACAAGTCCACACCGCCCTTCAGTGCTTACCACTTTAAGGACATCTACGTACTGATTTACCCCCGAGGTCACCTGCCTGCCTCAGCAGCACTCACCTCTCCCTGCATTGCTGTGGCTCTTCAGAGCCATTGGTTCTCCAATTGGCATGTCACCATTTGGAGCTTGCAAACCATCTTTAATTGGGCGATGAGTCAAAAGATAGCAATTAGGAGGCTAAAGTGGTAAAATCAACAAACAAGTCCTACTTCCAACAA